GTGAAGTATACTTGAAGCAAGTACGTAGCTTTTTGCTAGAGTCAAGAATGTTGTGCTTACCCCTTAATTGTAATTTTTACTTGGCACAACATTTTGATAGTGTTCGCAACCAGCTTTATCATGCAATTTTTTACTTGCTGAAACAGCTTGGTGCACGCGTCTAGCTGCATGACGTTGAAATAAGTGGCAATTGTAGCCTTTTTTGTATAAAGTTAAGTCAATTTACTGTAGGTTTATTTGTCACCTGGGTTTTATAAAAAAAAATTAAAGAAGAGTCCGAGAATTTGCCAGAATCCGTGTTGGCAGACCTTTACATGTCCTTAAAATATGTTTCATTAGTCAGACATATAGGTTTCCTCAGGATGTTTTCTTTCACCGTATTGCATGTGATTAATCAGAACTTAAAATTGTAACTTTATTAGAGCTGACGGGGATCGAACTATGTTTACTCGCGTAATATGTAAGTTTAAGCAAGCGTTTTGGCTACCACGGCTGTGGTTGTTTATTCATTTATTGCATCCTATTCACAGTCCACTGCTGAACATAGACCTTTTCCATAGATTGCCTCATAGGACATTTGCCACAGAAGTTACGCTTGGCAGGTAAGTCGACAACCGCAGTTTTTTTTGTTGAGTTTTTTTATATAATAAGGGTGACAAATGAGCAGACCATGATGGTAAGTGGATGCTGTGGCCTATAGATATCTACATTTATCCTCGATTAAGAATCAAAATGTAGATGCGTTGTCACCCCTGAGGACTAAGATGGTATGCCTCGTTTCCAGTAAAAAAGGGTATCCGGATCTCTACACTCACCATATGAAACACAGCAGTATTAAGCTTCTATTTTACGATGGTACTGTGAGAGCGCGGTCCTTCCCCGTTCGAGCCAACCTATTCGTGCTACTATCATAATATAGCTGTAGCGTGGCTCTACCACGTACCAAATTATACTATATTAACGTGATACCTGACCATCACCTATTTCTTTTCTCTACGTCACCACTTATAACACATACAGTTTAGTTGTTAATATATCGAATCATTTATAACCTGACTGAATATAAAGGTAAAACAATTGAACTATCTTATTGATATATGTGTATTTTTTAATTCGCTGGTGTTGTAGTAACATTTATCTGAAGATTAAATAATCGGCCCAAAAATGTGATTCGACTGCTCCGTGACGCGGTGGCTTAGCAATGAGTTGCAGCACCGCGTTCGTCCACGGGTTCGAATCCTTGCACGAAAAAGTATTTGTATGGTTAACAAATTATTTTTCCGGATCTGGATGCTTAGTGAAATTTATGTTTGTGAAATTCCTCTACAATACAGGAGAAAATTCTAGTGTAGGCGTAACAATTTAAAAAATGTAAACCTTACTTATACATCATGCAAATCATTTAATTGTTGAATGCTCAGAGAAACGCTGACTTCGTTACAGCTCATGATATTTACAAATATTATACAGTATTAAATGGTTGACCCTTGCATATAGATGAGGTATTTCCCGCATCGCCGGTCGTACGCAAGCAATCTGATCTCGTATTCATGGGGAGCCTCGTCGCCCAGTCGCGTGAATCTGAGAAATTTATTTTGAGTTAAAACATTACTCTGTGTTCATTATTCTCCATTTAAAAGGGTTGTTAATCAATACTTTTAAAGTTTCAGCCATGTGGTAGTGGGGTAAACGATCCACTACCCCTTTCATCCCACGTGTGTCTTAAGAAGTGACGGAGGGAAATGACACTGGAGATGGGCATCGCCGTCTTCCTGATTACAATTCATAATTAACTGTGAACAAAGTCATGGCAGTCTGTGATAATGATAACGAAGGCCATTTTTTTGCTGGTTCTTCCCAGGACAGAGGTTTTTTCCAAATCAGTGGTAAATTAAACAAAATAGTGACCTTCAATAAGTATTATTTATAATCTGTAATGAATAAAAAAGTTTCTGTTGCCGTTTCAAATATCCCACCTTTGAGGCGTTCATTTACAGTGGAGATCTATATTTATTAGTGGTATTTGTTTTTTTTATAGGATAAAGCTGACAAACGAGTACACAGTCTACCTGACGGTAAGTGGATGCTGTGGCCCATAGACATCTACATTTAACCTCGATTAAGATTCAAAATGCATGCGTTGTCATCCCTGAGTTCCTCTTCGTTTCCAGTAAAAAAGATCTCCGGTTCTTTTCACTCACCATGCGAAACACATTAGTATTAAGCTGCTATTTTACGCTGGTATTCTGTGAGAGCGTGGTCCTCACCCGGTCGAGTCGACCCATTCGCGCTACAACTATAATAGAACTGCAGCGTGGCTTTACCACGTAAAAAAACTATGCTATACACTCACCATAAGACACAGAGTAATACTAAAGTAGTATTTCACGCTGGTATTCTCTGAGAGCGAGGACCCTCCCCTATCTATCCGTAATAAACGCATACGTTAAACACACAATTATTCTATTTATGGAATAAAATATTTAAGAAGTAAATTTTTTATTTAATAAAAATGGTCTCCGGATATCTATCGGTAGTAACTCGATCGTGCCTCTCGTTTTAAATTGGTCCGGGAGTAAGCTTTTAAAATTAGTTTCGAAAAACGTCATTTTGAATAGAAAACCTAACCTAATGCGGAAATAATTGTAACCCTTAGATATATTATTTTTCCTAACTCTTACGATACATATGGAACGAAATAGAGTGATAAATTGTTTTATTATATTATTGTTTTGTTATATGTTGACAATTCTACGCGGCATTTGGTACGCTCAGGTTTTTTTATGACAATAATTTTTGAAAAACAAATCCATTATACTCATACTCATTGGTGTGATAAATATATATTTTTCTTAGTAGATATCCTACAGGTATTTGAGTATTTTATTATTAACTTTTTTGAAATTTTCAGTTTATCTCTTCGTCAGAATATTGGATATTAAATTCAATGTAGGTAACAAATAAATACACTTTCTCGCAACTCTTCCATAAGGGGCCCTTGCAACATGTTATCGTGTACTCAAAACCCTCTCCAATCTGAAGGGTGTTATAAAAATTATGAGGCACATGTTCCATAATATCTGTAGAGCTCTCGACGTTATTTAGGCCGGGAGCGAATTTTCATCCCGCTGCGTGCAGTTTGCTGATAAACGCCTTGTGTCCTCTTGTAGTGTCCCGTGGTGCGGTTATTTTAGATTTAACCTTTTTTTAAAAGTATATATAAAATTTTAGTTTTAGTTGCGTACAGCTTCCTTAATGTTGGTACTAAGATAATTAGAAGATAAATAATTCATCATGTCACGTCATATAGATTAAGCTAACTTTGTGATGGTATCTTTCTTAAGTCTGTCTTAAGGGTCCCATATACGGAACGATCTGTCGTTACCCTAATGTCTCCGTCAACCCATAAAAGCCATATTTGTTTTTCTCCTTATTCTCTTCATGGAAGTATTGCTAAAATTTTTCTTCATTTTCCGTCGGCCCAACCTTTACAGCTTATTAAAAGTTCACTAGGATAAACATAAACCTCCTCATAGATGGCTTCGTAGGGGGGTTATTTGCCATAGTTGTACATAGTGTGTGTGTGTACAGTATGTATGGACGGAAACATTGAAACGAGCACAGCTGTTCTCCCTCTAGATGTTCTAATTTAATATAAATTAAGAGGTATTAGAGAATAATGAACTCATTTATAAAGTAATTTTTTTCTATATAATTGAAATTATTAGAAAATGATTTTATAGCCGCGTTTCTACATTATATATATATACACACACATATATATATATATATACTACTTTTTATTTGTTACATTTTTAATACCTTTCCGTTTTCGTTCCTGAAATACCTCGTTTCCAGTAAACGGTTCTCTACACTCACCATACGAAAAACAGAAGCTTTAATAAACTGCTATTTACGCTGGTAAGTATTTTATGGTGGTAAGTACGGTCTTACCCCGGTCGAGCCGGCCCATTCGTGCTACAACCATAATATAAGTGTAATTATAATAGTATATATAAGTGTAATTTATAATAGTAGTAAATTAAATGTTTATAGAAGTGACAAGGTTTAATACGGTGACGAATGGTTTCACACAGACCGCCTGATGGTAAATAGATGCTGTGGACTATAGAAATTTACTTTACCACACTCCTATTTGTTAAACTAATTTTAAATGGTAAATAGAAAATTACTTTTATTAGGTATAATGTAATAATTTATATCGAATAAAAATCATTCTATTTTATTCATTTTTAGATATTCAAAACTTTAGATTTTAATTAAAGGTCTAAGTGGTAACGATCCGACAAACAGTTCAGTAACAAAGTTCGAATACCGGCTGTAGACTTATTTTTTTAAGACTTATTTTTGTGTGTTAATCATCAAGATATCTTTATCTTTATCTTCATCAAGTCTTCGATCCATTTTAGTACATTACAAACATTATCGCTACTCGTAACGCTGATGTGTTTTTTTATAGGATAAGGGTGACAAATGAGTACAAAGTCCACCTGATGGTAAGTGGATGCTGTGGTCCATAGACATCTACATTTAACTTCGATTAAAAATCAAAATGCAAATGCGTTGTCACCCTTGAGGACTAGGATGGAATGCCTCGATTTCAGTAAAACAGGTATTCAGTTCTCTACAGTCACCATACGAAACTCAGCAGCACTAAGCCACTATTTTATGCTGGCATTCTGTACTGAAAGAGCTGCCAAGAAATCTGTAGCCAGAGGCAGGGTCACTTCATTTTATACTAAATTAGACACTCCTGAGGGTCACAAGCTCATATATAAACTGGCGCGCGCTAGGGCCAAAGCAGCGCGAGATATTACTCGCTGCTGCAGCGTCAACGGCCCTAATGGCGAGCTCCCGCACGATGATCGTGCAGTGAAGGAGAGATGGCGCTCTTATTTCCCCGTTTTGCTGAATACTCAGCACCGAGAAGTGCACCCTCCCGAACAACTCCCGAAAGTGTGATCGCATCTCTTCGTCACATGGAGAATCGGAAAGCTGTCGGACCGGACGAGGTGCCAATTGAAGCGTGGAAAGCGCTGGGGGCTCATGGTGTGTGCATTCTTACTAACCTTTATAATAGATTCCTGAGCGACCGAATAATGCCCGATCAGTGGCGGCTTAGTATAATAACGCCGGTCCACAAGGGTAGGAGGTTCCGTTCAGGATTGCGGTAATTACCGCGGTATAAAGGTGACGTCACACACCATGAAGCTCTTCGAGCGCATTAATTGAACCAGGATCCGACAGGAGTGTACAGTATCGGACTCCCAGTATGGTTTCCAAACTGGACGCGGTACCATCGACCCTATATTCGCCCTAAGGATCCTCATGGAGAAGCACAGGGAAAAGAATATGCCTCTGCATTTTTTATTCCTAGACCTACATAAGGCCTTTGACTGTGTTCCTAGGGAGATGATCTGGTGGGCGTTGGGGTCGAAGTTGTTACCAGAGACCTACGTGGAAATCGTACATGACATGTACTGCAACTCCGATTCAATAGTCAGGACCGCTGTTGGTGATACCACCCCCTTTCCCATAACCGTAGGCGTGCATCAGGGCTCCGTCTTAAGCCCCTATCTCTTCAGTGTGTTATTAGACGAACTGTCAGGCAGCGTACAGAAACTACCGCAGCCTTGGCTGCTTATGTACGCTGATGATATCGCACTGGTAGATAGGGACAAAGGACGGCTCACCAGACGCGTGCACGCATGGCGGGAGGCGCTTGAGAACGGCGGGCTGAAGCTAAACGTGTTGAAGACGAAGTATATAGCCTGCAACAGCACATATCTGACGTCTCTCGCGGCAGCCTCCATGTCCGTGACATTGCTGAAAAGTCGCAGGAAAGTCGCCTCCGCTGGTACGGCCACGTCTTACGACGACCGGCAAGCTACGTGGGAAACAAATGCCTGCCTGGACATGACCCTACCTGGTACCAGGAGTAGAGGACGGCCCAAGAAACGCTGGCTTGATGTCGTGCAGGATGACATGCGCGTCAATGGGCTAGTTGCGAGGGACGCCGAAGACCGGGCAAAGTGGAGGAGGAAGTGTAGGAAAGCGGACCCCGGGTTCTCCCGCGATGGGCGGGATGAGCAACCGGGATAAACGCTAGGTAGAAGAATAAGAGAAGAAGATTCTGTGAGAGCATGGTCCTTCCCCGGTTGAGCCGACCCATTCGTGCTACAACCATAATATAGCTGCAGTGTGGCTCTACCACGTATAAATTTGTGTTAATGAATTGCGTACTTTATGTCTAGTTTCTGATGACGTTAATGTCTTTTGTCTTTTACAGCTTCATAGGTCTTAGGGAGGTACCCTAAGACCTTTCATTTCCAAACAAAGAGACTATGATGGCAAGTATTAAATTCATGACATTTTTTATATTTAGAAATCTAACTAAAGCTTACAAGGAGTTTTTTTAATATGATTAAAATGTATGATATCCCATTAACCTTTTTATGTCTTCTGCGACCGCATAGTCATTACTATGATTAAGGATTACAGTTTGTTCTATTATTACTGTAAAAACCCTAATTATTGGCACAAAACAGGGTTCTCCAGAACCCTCCAAGCGGTGTGCATTCTACGCCTTGTTACATTAATGTTTTCAAAGAGTTGGAAACAATAGATACGACATAGGGTACTTTAAACATACATATCCATTTTAGTTTTTACGAAAATACATTTAATGATTTAATCTTTAGGTTGAAAATGTGGTTTTGTTACCTGTGACTTGTAATTGTTATTGTAAATTATTATTTTATTGAAACGTGTAAAAAATGTCGTATGATGGCGTAATGTCCTTATGGTTGAGTGAGTAAAAAGACGCAAAATTAAATACGCGTAAAGCGGGGTAATTTTAATTTTAATGACATTTACTAAAATTTGTCGTATAAGTAGGTAATAAACATTTTTATATCTGGTTTGCAGACCGCTTGATAATGTTACGTGGGCAGCTGATAAATGAAAAGAGCTTACCAACTTAGCCGTTACAAGTAATAGATACTTTATGAAGAAGTCTTCATGAACGAATCAGTATCCTTAGTGAATTGTATAATTATAATCGTGATAATGAAGATAAAAACAACTATCATGATACAATGTTACCTCTATATGTAGATATAAAAAGCAATTGCTGTCGGTTATTTTCGCTAAAACTCAAAAACGGCTTGATGGTTTAGATTCATATTTGGACCGTTGATGTGAGGTGGCGCTGATCACCCGGAGGATCGCTAGTCTATCATATAAAGTCGATAATCGCTATGGTCTATAGTCTAGTTATAAACTCTTGTGGGCTATGTAATTTGTAACAATAATATAAATATTATCATACTTGCAATATTATAACATTTAAATATGATATATATTTAAGTGTATTCATGAAAAACTTTATTTTTCCAAAAGTATGATGTAGAAAACAAGGTATTTTTTTATAGGATAGGGTGACAAATGAGCACACAGTCCACTGCTGGTAAGTGGCTGCTGCGGCCCATGTACATCTACATGTATCCTCGATTACAAAACAAAATACAGATGCGTTGTCACCCGTGATGACTAAGATGGAATACCTCGTTTACAGTAAAAAGGTTCTCCGCTTCTCTACACTCACCATACAAAATACGGGAGCATTAAGATACTATTATATGCTGGTATTCTGTGAGAGCGTGGTCCTTCCCCGGTTGAGCCGACCCATTTGTGCTACAACTATACTACTAATATAACTGCAGCATGGCTCCACCACGTATAAATTATGGTATTTATTTGATATCTTTTATATTCCATATTTTAAATAGATACTATGTCGTGAAGCGACAATTAAAAACTAAATAACCTAACCTAACTACAACAAAACAACCAAAAATAAAATAAATTATTTAAAAATTTGAAAAGATTTACAGTTTCTTTTATAAAAAAAAGTATGAAGGTGATGATGGGCTGTAATGATGATAGTGATTTACAATATTATTAAAAAAAATAACAAAAATAAAGATACTGCAACGAAGTATGCACAGGCTATGCCTATGATAGGTGCGCAGCGCCTGCTCTAGGTACACGCAGAATCTGGAGAAAGCACATGCAGCGTCTGGAGAAGGTACACGCAGCGCTTGGAGTAGGCCCACGCAACGCCCGGAGCAGATACACGCAGCACCCGGAGTAGACACGCAGCGTCTGGAGTAGGTACACGTGGCGCTTGAAGTAGGCAAACACAACGTCCGGAGTAGACACACACAGCGTCCGGAGTAGACACGCAGCGTCTGGAGTAGGAACACGCAGCGCTTGAGACAAACACGCTCAGCGGCCGAAGATAGCGCGGGCACTAATAGGTGGAGGCGTAGGCGTGGCTAGGCGACGACTTCAGGAAAAGGCTTGCAAGATCCCGAGGCAGTGCGGATAAAGCCTTTAAGAGGTGCTTCTCGTATCAAAGCTGAAGTGAGGACCTCTATCGGCCGATTCCTCGGCTTTTATACTTTTTGACGGATCTGGGATAAGAACGAGAAATTATTTGAAATTATTTAAATTAAAAGCAAATTTTTGTAAATGGCCAAGAAGAAAAAGAGTATTTTTTGAAGTAAAAACATCAGGCCGGTAACAATATTTGAATAAAAATTGCCACGACAACCAGATAAACAACGATGTCAAAACATGTCAAATTTTGGTTTTAAGCTCGTAATACAGAAACGGCAAGATTTAAGTGAAAAATGAGATATTATTTATATAGGAAAAAAGGTAGCGCAAGAGCGCGCACGAAACCCGAAATTGTAGAGTTACGGAGAACTAAATAAAAGATCGAAAAAGGTAGACTCCATTGACACCGATTTAAAAAGTGCTGATAACGTGAAAATACGAAGTGAAAATGATTTGTTATTGTGTTCTTATGAATTAAAAATATTACAGGATCCTATGGAAATAAAGGTGATGCAAAATATCCAGTTTTGAGGTGAATGTAGAAAATCAAAAACAGAATGAAAAAATAAAAATAAAATAGTGTAAAATGATATGTAAGTATGTATGTAAGCATAACACTACATTTTCCCCCGGACCCTGGAAAATTTTTGACTCAGCAAAAATTTTGAGATGTACATTCCAAAATAAACCATAAAAACACAGCTTTGCAGTAACAGACATCACCAGGCAATATCAGATATACTATCTCTTACATTCATCATCTGCATTCAGGTAAGGGTGGAGTTCACATTCAATGACTACCACTCTAAAAGTGTGTTTTCGAAAGGACATTCAGGCTTATTTAAGGAGTTGTCATCCGCTCCTGCGTGGAAAAAAAAACATTTTGAAAGGACATCCAGGCTTATTTAAGGAGTTGTCATCCGCTCCTGAGTGAAGATAAAGTTAAAGAAATTAATCTTAAGCAAGCTTTAGCCGCTATGACTTAAGTAAAGATTAAGAACGGCCAGAGCGGTAGGGCTCAAAGCCAGAGATCAGCAACATCACTAACGAAATGTGTCTGAAATAAAAAGTGAAGATTAACCAACGAAAATTCGAGGTCCTAAAGCAAGATGTGTTGAAGAACACTGGATCACCAAACAAACAAAGAAATAAAAATAATAAGGTGAGAATGATGGTGATATTTATACATATATACAGTTAATAAAAGTTAAAAAAAAAATTATGATTTTACATCTTTGATGTGCCACTTGCCTCTAACTCCATTAGGGTCTTCAAGCACATAGACTAGTGGTGACAGTTTAGCTATCACTTTGCACTTGATGAACTTAGGGGCAAGTTTAGCATTAAAGTATGCGCCGGCATTGCTTAAAACGTGGTTTTTACGCCAAACAGTGTCTCCCACATTAAATTCTTTAAAAGACCGGCGAAGATCATAGCGAGCGCTATTTTTAGCGTGAGCTATGTGAAGTTTAGTTTGAACTTTGTGAAAAATAGATGAGAGGAGACCAGCATTAGACGCGTAAATATCACGAGGCATAAATATCAATTCCTCGAGGTTATGAGTTGGAGTATAGAAGGAACCACAAGGTATTGTTTCCCTACCAAAGACTAAAAAGTTTGGAGTAAAGCCAGTAGCTACATTTGTAGCGCTGTTCATTGCGTACTGAATCTTAGCAAGATGATTGTCCCAGGATCTATGATCGTCTCCTACTAGAGATGCTAGAGCTGTAATAATTGTACTATTAAACTTCTCCGTAGGATTAACCTGAGGACAATATAAAGCTGTGTGAAAAATACAAGGAACGTTATAAGAATTTAAGAATGAGTGGAATTCTCGCGACTGAAATTGAACCGCGTTGTCCATTATAATAGTTTGGGGAATGCCATGAACTAGAAAAACTGAATTTTCCAAAACATTAATAATATTAGCTGAAGTAGCACGTTTAAGGGGAAAAATCATAGTATATTTAGTAAAATTGCAGTTAATTACTAGAATATATTGATTTCGTCTTCGAGTCATAGGTAATGGACCCATAAGATCTAAGGATATAGTTTGAAAAGGTCTGGAGCAAAGTTTGGGTTTACCCATAAGACCATAGGGAGAATGATTAGGGTGTTTGTAGGTTAAGCAGGTTTCACAAGATGAGATTAATTTGGCAATGTCCTTAAACATACCAGGCCAATAGTATTTTAAAGATATTTTCTTGAATGTCTTGAAGATACCAAGATGGAGTTCTGAAGGGGAACCATGGTTAACTTCAATAAGTGTATGCCTATCTCGAGGTAGTGGAACTTCTTTCCAAATAAAGTCATCGTTTAGACGATCGGGAGAATGGATGCAGCGGTAAAGTTTGTTATCCCTGATAGTGTAGTTGGGATATGCGTCTGGGTTGTTGGAGCATCCGAGAAAAATCTTGTTGTAGTGCTCAAGTTCACGATTAGGTGGTTCTTCAATCGTAATAGGATGTACGCCTTGAGGTGAAGTTTCTCGTGTATCAGGACGTTCTTGATTCTTATGTCTTGATAATAAATCTGGAACAACGTTATCCTTTCCTTTTTTATGTTTCAGGACAAAGTTAAAGCATGATAAGCGTAAAGTCCAGCGAGCAAGTCTTCCTGATGGATTCGATAAGTTCTGAAACCATTTAAGTGCAGCATGGTCAGTATATATTGTAAATTCTTTACCATTGTCTAGGTAACATCGCCAATGTTCTAACGCAGTTATTACAGCCAATGTTTCTCTTTCAGTAGTTGAGTAGTTCTGTTGATTTTTGTTTAGTGCTTTACTCATGTAAGCAATCACGACTTCTTTGTCATCTTGATGTTGAGTAAGCATTGCTCCTATGCCATAATTTGATGCATCACAATGTACAGAGAAGGGTAGTTTGAAGTTAGGGCAAGCAAGGACAGGAGCAGTTACCAAAGCTTCTTTAAGTTTCTGGAAAGCAGCTGCAGCTTGTGAATTCCATAAAAATTTAGGAGCGTTCTTCCCGGAACAGGTTAGTTGGTTGAGTGGAGAGGCAATGGTGCTAAAGTTTGGAATGAATCTTCTGAACCAGCTGCAGGTGCCTATGAATCTTCGTACTTCTTTTCTGCAAGTAGGTACAGGATATTCTAAAATAGCTTTTATTTTATCTGGATCAGCACGTAGACCATACTCGTCCACTAGAAAACCAAGGTATTTCAGTTCTTTCTTGAAGAATTGACTCTTCTCAAAGTTAATAGTCAGATTAGCATATGAAAGTTTTTCATGAACTTTCATGAGAAGCGATATGTGTTCATCAAAAGTCTCGCTAATAATAACGATGTCATCCAGATAGCAAAATACCTTGTTCTCAAATTCAGGAGTAAAAAGCATATCCATTAATCTTTGTAGAGTTGCAGGTGAGTTAGAGAGACCAAAAGGCATTACCTTGAATCTAAACATGCCTCTTCCAGGTACATAAAATGCAGTTTTATCTTTATCAGCAGGATTCAAGGGAATCTCCCAAAATGCTTTCGCAATGTCGATGCTTGATAAGAATTTGGCATTCTTCAGGTTGTCCAAAATTTCGCTTATTA